GAAGGCCCTGAGAGGCGGTCCAGACGTGCCGATGGCTCCGAGAGCGGTTTAGATAGATTAATGGCCCTACGAGGCGGTCCATCCAGGCTGATGGCTCATTATGCATGTTGTTTGTTATGATATTGTTATGGTTTATATGTCGTTGGTATTTTGGGGGAACTCACTAAGCTTCGGGCTTACAGTTTTTGATTTTGTTTCAGGTACTTCGGATGATCGCAGGAAGGCGAAGGCTTGATCGTGCACCTCCTCACATTTTATGATTTTGATTTCTAGGATATCTGATATGAAACTATTTTGGAAACATTTTGTAATAAGTAATGGTTTTTGGATGCTTGAAAAAGTTTTAAATTTTTATGAATTTTATGGATGTTACAGACTAAAACCCGATATTGTTAGTAAATGGATGGATTTAAAGAAAAAAGTCACATGGTTCAATTGATGCTACAATTATGAGAAAATGCGATGCTCTCATGCAGACGATGAAGAACTTTTTGAAGACGTGAACGGATATTACATTTGCGAGTTTGATGGAAATGAGTTCGAGTATACGGACGTTGGAATCTCGTTAAAAATAAACCTTTTTTCATGTAGACGACTATTTTATTTCTAATGTTTTATGTAATGTGTGTCGGTCCTACATCTTATTCGTAATGTTTATTTTTCTGTTTTTTAAATATTTTTATACTATTTGTAATGTTTTTTTTATTTGAATGTATCGTAATATTTGTTGGTGCATTATGTTTCAAAAAATAAAGGATAAATAACATAATACAAACAAAAAAACTCAACCATACTACATATAAATAAAGCAATACAAACACAGTAAAAGTTAAAAATAAGGGAAATCTTTCAAAAGATTCCAAGGGGCTTCATAGTCGAAAAATCTCTCCGTTGCTAATGGATTTGTATTCTTCTTTAGCCGCCTCCAAGATATCTTCCTCAGTATCATTCACACGTGCATCTTCAATCTTCTTATAAAGATCGTTGAATAACACAACTTTTGTTTTCAATTCATACCGTTTTGCTACTATATCAAGCGTGATGTAATGATTTTATAAGGTGGATTCAGTGTCAGTGTTGAAGGTATTGGTTAAAAGGAGCCAAAACATTGTATCATCCAAATTGATGTTCTCGTAGACATTAATATATGTACGAGTTAGAAGCAAATAATCCTCAGTGGTCCATTGTAACGCCCATGTTTCTGGGCTAAACATTAATAATGATGTAATAGTCTAGGTCAACCATTGTAACTTGTTTCGAAGTAATGAAGATGAATTATTTGAATATTATGTGAATTATGTGCTTTTGTGTGCTTATTACTTGTTTATAATAATATAATAAATAAAGGATAAAAATAAGTGTCAAAAATAAAATGTTAGATAAGCCCGATATCGATAAAGAAAGTTGTAGTGGTTGTGACAAAGATTCCGGAGATATAAAGAACGTCGAAATCCGATTTATAACGAAGAAGTTATTGTCTGTCAAAGTTTCACGACAGAACCGGCACGACACTGCGTGACGTAAATAGTGAATTTACGATAGATGACTTTTTTAGCCTTAGTGATCTAAACGAAAGTCGTAGAGTTCGTTAAACCATGAGCGTGCATAAAAAGAAAACCCAAATCTGACTTCGTACGAGGAAATTATGATTTTTCTAAGTTTCGGCTTAGCAGTATGCAATCCGGAGTTCGAATATTAGACCGAGCGAATTTTAGCCAACACAACCTAAACGAGAATCGAAGGTCTTGTTAATAGTAGCTTAACGGTAAAAAGACAGACAAAAATGGACGTCAGACGAAGAAGTTATGAATTTTTAACAGAGTTTATTGTCTCGGTCTGTTTAAAAATATAACTTTAAAAATAGAGTCAAAATTAGCCGACAGAGTCTAAATGAAAGTTGTATAGTACGGTCCCTCCTATGCGTGGATATAAAGAACGTCGAAAACGGAGCTCGTATGCAAAAGTTACGAATTTTAGAAGTCGGAGGTGCAAATTACGAAGATGGATGCGAGGCTACGCCCCGCGTAGACCTTCAGACGCCTCGCGTACCAAGTACGCCCCGCGTACACCGAAGGCATGCTCAGTGGTTTGACTTCTCCTACGGTCCGAAATTAGCCACGATGCACCACCGAGACTCCGACACGTACGTACAAACCTCAGTGTACGCCCAGCGTACCTCGGAACTACGCCCAACGTAGTCCACGGCCTCGGCCTATAAAAGGGTGCGAGGTGCAGCCCCATTTTCCTCACATTTTCAACTATCTTTTTCTCTCTAGGAAACCTCCCTAGCATTAGAAGAAAGCCCCGGAGCACCCGAAGGCTCCGAGAAAAAGAGTTTTTCGGTTTGAAACTCTGCCCGCGCAGAGCCCAGTTTTCAAGCAAACCTCCCGGTTTCATTAAAGAAGATTGTTTTTAGAAGCGAAGTGTTGTCCGAATCACTCTTTATCAGGTGAGTGTATAGTCACTTTCATCTTACACATAGATATGAAGTATTTTATATAAATTACGTGCTATGTGTATATATATTATCTGTTTACTTGAGATGTATGTTGGATGAAAGATCTAAACCTTTTTCCTTCAGATCTAAATTTTCTTTTCAGATCTAAACTTTTTTTTCAGATCTAAACTGTAGATATATTTTGTTTTCAGATCTGAGCCTTTTTCTTCAGATCTAAACTGTGGATGTATTTTTCTTTCAGTTCTGAGCCTTTTCTTCAGATCTAAACTGTAGATGTATTTGGTTTTCAGATCTGCGCCTTTTTCTTCAGATTTAAACTGTGTATGTATTTTTTTATCTACAAATATGTTGTGTAGAACATGGGTAGATGAAATAGAGGATGTGTGATAAAATGATGAGAGGCCTCGATGTTTACGATGATCTAGTCATCTAGCGGAGTATAGATGACGACCACAGACTATTCTAGACTGTCCAGTGGAACGCTAGCAGGCTCGCAACCTGTAGGTGTTTTTGAACTAAGTGTTCACCAGATGTACTCCATCCCTCCCCCCCCCCATGGTTGCCTTATTGACATGTGCTGAAGAATCCCCTAAGCAGTGTTGTCACCCCGAAGAAAAATCCTTAGGCTAGGTCCCTTAGAATAGATGCTTTAGGGACGTAAAGTGAGGATAACGGGAATGGGAAATCGGGTTACTGATTTGATGAAAATAATAATGAACTTATTATTGTGGGTTGAAAACCCTATATGCTCACCGGGATCCCCAGCCTGACCCACTCAGTTTCTTGTATTACAGGTAGTGGCAAAAGCATGGTTGGATGACATGACGAGGGATTATGGATTTATAGGCCAGTATAAAATAAACATAATGTTGTAAGGCCTATATTGTTTTGAGGCCAATTTTGTTTTGTGGCCTATGATGTTTTGTTTATGCCTTTGATCTGTATTGACGATGACATCCCGAGTTTTGTAATGTAATGAAAATATATTTCTTTAAGAAATGCTTTGATAAATTTTTTATCATATTTTGTTTTGGGAACAAATTCCGTGACACTTTTCTTTGAAAGATTACTCTGATTTTATTATAAAAGCATAAACGAAATCGGTCTTTTCTGGCCGTAAAAATGGGGATGTCACATCCATGGTTTTGAACCCATTGTAAAAGATACAAATAGATACAGTGATATAGATTAGATGAAATGATAAAGATTTTTGAGTCATTTTATAGTGAAATGGCAGTCCGCGGAAGTGATTTGGCAGTCCGCGGAACAAATATAATAACAAAAATAAAACACGTATTTATATTTTAAAAAATTACTAAAAAGATGTATTTCATATTAACATATACAAAGTTCCTAAATCAAGTTATATAGTGTCCCAAATAATATTTGTCGTCCTATTTCTATAGAGAAATCTCGCATCTCTACGTGGCCTATCAATCTTCACCGGTACCCCCGAAACAATAATTTCCATAAACATGCATAGAATACTCCACAATCCCCTCTAGCTTCGATGTATTCCTGCTGTGGTGCATCTAAAGTTTCAACAAACCCCACAGTTGTATTGTCTTTGTGTCCATCGGGGAAATCGTTCCGGTACTCAATCACATTTAGCTCAGAGATAATACTATCCCCAAAACTTTCGAATTCTACACCAATCTTGTACTTTGAGAACAAATTCATAGATCGTGCTGAACCATAAATGTGTACTTTCCAGGTATTTAAATGTAGCACTGCCAAAAACCAATGGACACCAACAACGTTTATGGGGAATAGAACCTGGAAACAAAAAATGGTAGTAAATTCGGTAATATTATATATATATATATATATATATATATATATATATAATTATTAATCGAAACTAGCCATATCCACATCCTTTCATTTAGGATAGCCTCTAACACCATTTGCTACATTCCTAAAAAAATGATTTTTCGGGTTGCAAATTGAGTTCTTGAGGGTATATCGTCCACCTTGCGTTCGTCGGCGCTCTTTCCATGAGCAAGGCACTCCATATTTCAATATGATGTGAATTTTAAGATAAAATGTTACAATTATTTACATAAATTATCGTCTTAAAAAGTAGTTAAAATTTAACGAATGTTACCGAAAAAATTAACCAACCAGAGTCAGTAACTACAAGTAACCTTGACCAGAACTCCACATCCAGTGGGAGCATATGCAGCCTGTGTGTAGTGTTTTGACCTTGGAAGAGATCATATTCCATTCTTTTCAAAAACCCAACGTACTAGCAACATAAAGATTATCTAACAGTTGATGATTTAAAACATAATTACTCTCTTCATTCACAATGTCTTCATTTGCTTTTTCGAGACACTCCACTGCTTTTTTTCCCCTTGATTTGGTGATTTTCTTCAATTTTGGTGTGGATTGGATCTAAAAAATTAAAATGTTAAATAATTATCAATAACGTAGTATTTTATAAATACACCAAATTTAAAATATGAGTTTTGTACCATTGTGAAAGGTGTCCGCTGATACCATGAAGCACCCCTCGTTCGTTGCGACCTAGCAATAGGAATCACTGTTTTTTTTTGTGATGTTGACCCACGTCCGATGACGACTCAACATTTTTCCCCGTAGGTGTATGCCCAACTTCCCCCTCCAAACCATGCGTAAATGTATCATCATAATGCAACTGTGTACCATGGTAATATGTTTCTTCCTCCTTTTCATTTACCATGTCCTCCTCCTCTCCAAACCCTGTATCTGATTCATCTTTTTTCTGTAATACACGGTCTACTTTAGAAGTTAAGTCAGCCACAAAGCCTACTAGACGCTTCACCAATGCCTTTGTGCTCGTCTTCTTCTTCTTTACCGACCTTGTTGATGTGTCGCTTGACATATAAGTTCTTTCTACTTCAGGTTGTTGCGAGGTAGAAGCCTTTGTGGCCGTTTCAGTCGAAGATGTTTCCGACTTGTACTTTCTTCGAGGAGGCGAGGCAACAATAGGTAAACTTTGTTGCCATGGGGAGATTCTTCATGGTTAAGAGTCCAATTTACATAGCGAATATATAAAATTGCTACATGAGCTCCATCTCGTTTGCCACGACAACAATAGGATGGTTGTTAGGATGAAAAAATTAGATTGTTAGTTTAACAGGAAAAAACATTGGAATTTGTAATTATATATAATTATAATATAAAAAGCATACCACAGTCACGTTGATTATTCGACGACATTGAACCCAAGATAACCGTGTTTTTCTTCTCCACGACCTCATTCGTGGCAATTCTGTCGGCATGCGTACATAATACTGTGTTACCTTTGGGAACGTCTTCAAAATCCATATCTATGGAAAAAAAGGTAAGTATGATGCTATTATAGTATAAAAATGAAAGTACAACGGTATTATATAGTACAAACGGAAGTATAATGATATTATGGTATAAAAAACGAAAGTATGATAACTATTTAAATACATTAGAAACTAACCTTAAATGGAAGCCTAAAACCGGCAACGGTATACTTGTGTACTTTCTTCGATTCGGGATGACCTGCTTGAATATTCTAAAATTTTCTATTTTCTCAAACATTCCACGCATCAACCCCGAAGTATAGGTCCAAAAATATGTACCCCATGCAAACGTGCAATTTTCAATTTATTTATTATAATTATTATTGTATTTATACATAATTTTTAAATATAATACCTGTTCCAATCATGTATATTATCAACAAGCTTGTATAGTGCCGCAGAATTGCCCGTTTTAACGTCCCGTCCGTGGAGACCTTTCAACATAAAAACAAGTTGGATAAGCATTACATCATCTTCACCCCGAAGTGCCAAATAATTCGGAGACATAATGTAGTCTTCTAAATCTTTGAGCCATAAACGTGCATCTGTAATGTCTGGGAACAACCGAGCACGAAGACATGAATGTGACCGGCCTCTTTCGTCATGGAGTGAATCCACATAAGGACCAACTCTTAACCCACTAATAAAAATATATTCAGTTTCACCAAAATCCAACTGCATCCCCTGTATCTCAAAATGAAACCTCTCCATTTCAAACACTTCTTGAGACCTTACTTCATACAACATCATCAAATGCACAAGTAAGGGGTCACCATTGGGGATATGAATTCCTAAACATCTTCCAAACGGTGAAGCTTCAAATAATGCTCGTTGCGATTGTGTTAGGCGCGGAAAATAGTCTTTAATGATCGTACCGTCCACGCCTTTTAAAGTTAAATATGTTTTTTGATCGAGATCATCATGCTACAAAACATATACATTTAATTTAATATAAAACGTTAGTAATTAAAAATAATAAACAAGGTTTTAAAATTACATAGTTAATTCGGTTTAGGAAATAAATAGCAACATACTTTTTATTTAATTAATAATTGATATAAAAGGGCAGGGGAAAAAAAGGGGAAAAATGGCATTTTAGGTCATTCCGCGGAGACCCATCTGCGGAGTGACCTATACTTCTGCGGAGAGATATTTTACCCATTTTAATCCATTCCGCGGAGATCACGATAACACATCCCGATTTTCTCGCACTTTAAGGTGAGTGTTACGACCCCTCTTTTGTATTTACTTATTTTGGGGGAGAATACATGTACTATGTATTATAAATTATACAAAAACAATATTACAATACCTTTTAACTGCTTTACGGTACGGGGAATCTGGTTTGAAGGGCCGCATAGAGTTGTTGGATTTCAGAACAACTTAAATGCTAAAAGAGTCCTGCCCTCCGGTGTTTCCTGTCTGGCCCTCGTCTGTGCATAGTATTTGAAAAGTATTGTTTAACAATTATATAATAAGTAACAATATCGTTTTAAACCTCAATATCCTAGTATGTTATGTTGCTAGAATAATACAACTAATGAAATAACATATCTTTTTACTATAGAGTTTATAAAAGAAACACACTTCATTATAAAAGTTACTGCCTTATACTTTACTCACATGTCAATCATACTCAACTTTTATTAACTTGATGTCAGGAAATTCATTATGCCTAGAACTTACCCACAATGAAGTTAGGGTTGAGAGTTATTCACAAACTTTTTAGTTAAGGGCTTTTTAGTGAGACGTTATTCATTAGTTGAGTCTAAACATTTAGCATATCCATACTACTATAATCGTTAATCTTCGGAGCGAGATACATATGTATAGATCTATACGGGGTTGACATTCCCACCTGTGGTTGCTAGCTACAACCTCGACCGATCAATCGAAGCAGGTGATAAGTGTCTACAATTCTTACTGCAACATCCAATGAAGCGTTGTGGTCGGGTACAATCAAGTCACATAGCTTGGTTATAGGACTCACTATAAACATTAACTCGAATATCTCTCTCTCTTACTACAACTTCTGAACTTGGTTTGTTTAAAAATCATTTTAAGCATGAAATTACTTATGTCAGGACATTGTTTGGGTTTTTCAAAGCTTATTTAAATATTGTTTACTTACAAAGAAAATACTTTTTGAAACGCTTTTAAGAGTATTATTACTGCGGCTAACAGAAAACATGTGACTCTCACCAACCTTGTGATGACCCTCAAAACTATATGTATTCTCAGGAAATCAGTAATCAAGCAAATTCAGACGACGGATAATCAGGGATCTCAAGCAATTTAGTTTACTACTTTTTATTATGTTCGCCTACCTGTTTAAGGCAATTCATATATTATACTATTATATGTAAGAACTATGTATTCAAACATATAGATGGAATATAAATGTTGTTTTGTTTATTGTTGTACTTATGCCATATATTCAGTTTATCTATGATCCATGAACTTAGTCGCACAACCCGGCATGTTCCGCCGCCTCGGCCGGGGGTGTGACACACGAAAAGTTGTACCAAGGGGGCCGAAACCAGATTTTTAAAAGAAACACTAAAAAAAATTATTCGATTCAACGTCATAAAATATAAAAAAATCAAACAAAACAATTAATATAAAATATTCTAACATCGCACATTAAAGTGGAATTCGTCGATCTTTTACGTCTTTAAAGTCTTGCACAATCGTCTCTAAAGTAATTTTTTCTTCAAGCTCCCTTTCGAAGTACAAAAGCAACGAGTCGTTCAAAAACTCATCTTCCATTTTATTTCGTAGCCTTGTTTTAACAAGACTCATTGTTGAAAACGATCTCTCTGTTGTAGCAGTGGAAACTGGAAGAGTTAGTATAAAGCTAACTACTCGATAAATAAGAAAAAAATTGGTGGCTCTTCTAGTCTTTATCAACCATTGACACAATTCTGAAATAGATATCAATTGTTTATAATCTTCACGTTGAACGACATCCACCTCGTAATGTTGGAGTTACATCTTCAAAAGATTTATCTCGGTTTCATTGAAATCTTCAGGATAAAACTTTTCTAGTAATTGACATACATCACCAGTTCGAAAAGGCTCATTAGAACTTTTAGGATCTAAAGTTGTTGAAAGATGGAGTAACTCCATCGAGCTATCATTGATCCGATGATCTAATTCCATTAACTGACAGTTAATTGCTTTGATGAAAATATGTACTCGATAATGATGTTCAAGTGTATGATCACTATGTTCATTACGAGCTCGAGCTCCTCTACTAAAGTAAGAAGAAGACAAATCAGGGATATCGATGTTGCGTTCAAGACAAAATGACTTAACATGAGCGAGAAAACTATCCCATCTTTCATCTTTTATTTTTTGCAATAGCAATTTGGTGGATGCAACTAGCCTCAATGCATTCAATATATCTTGAGATTGTCTTTGTAAAGCTTGGCAAAGTAAATTTGTGATCTCTATTATTTCTTTCTCGAGATGTAGAAAAAAATGAATTCAAATGTAGTAATAGTCTCATATGCTGAATTTGCATCTCCTTAGATCAAACCAGTGCCATCCTCAATAATTTTAAGTAAAACCTCACAAATCGGACAAAACATTTTTATTAAGCTTGAAAGCGATTTCAAGTGAGAACCTCATTTGGTATCCCCAGCCTGTTGTAATGCACCAATCTGATTGAGGCCTCTACCAATCTCCAACTCACCAATAGATTTAAAATATGCCATTTGTTCGTCTTGTGCATCTCTTAGTTGGTCGGAGCGCTTGGAAGAAGCACCAACGACATTATTAACAAAAGATAATTTAGTAAAAAAAACTTTTGGGGAAAATGACACATATAGCCCACAAAATTTTTAGGGTTGACCCTTTTTGTCACTAAAGTTTTTTTGTGGCTTTATGAGGGAACCAAGTTGTGGGCAACCTGTCCTTTTAGTCCCTTTTACTTGTTTTAGCCGGTTTAAGGGACACATAGACAAAACTTGGGGCCCACCCATCTTTCTCTCTTTCTCTCTCTCTCTCTCTCTCCTCTCTCTCTCTCTCTCTCTCTCTCTCTCCTGTATAAACTAAAAAACACACACATATACACCTCCTGAAATTAAAAAACGCACAGCCTCATCCCAGTCTTCTCCATCCCCTTAAAAATCTTTCTCTCTCAGTTTGAAAATTTCTTCAATGACTTTTTGCCATAAACTTCGTCTTTAGAAGACAGTGGGTTTCAAGGGGATTTTTTCTTGGGTTCAAGGGGTTTCAAGCTCTGGATTTGTCAACCCAGTTAAAGAAGAGAATGAGGAGGTTGAGGAGAAAGCGTCAAAAGATGAGACAAAGATCCAAGTAGATGGTGGTGTTTGTTTGCATATGGATGGTCGACAATAAGGTGGGTCGGGTACACTGATACTAAGCCTGAATATTTTGTTATCAAAGTTCCGATTGATATTTTGAACACATATGAGAACCTGAAAAAAATTCTTGGTTTTGTGGTTTTTTTAGTTTTGTTTAGATTTATAGTTATTATTGTTAAAATTGGAACTGGGTGCAAAAAAGGAACATAGGAAAG